TAAATTAAGACTTAGGAAATTGTGTAATCTATTTTTCGTTTCTCCAAGACAGTAACACTCCATTTTTTTGGTCCTTCAAAATAGACCATGCTCATTCGACTAATTAGACACGCATATTGTAATATCTTTGGAAAACTAAAGGAAGGACGGGGAAGGGGGAGTCAGATTCAGCCTTGAGTAATTTAGAGAGTGAGGGGCGGGGAGTCCCACGCACCTCGAGATTGAGGTGCGTCGTGAGGGGTAGGTGGCGTAGACTTGGTGTTACGTGACAAATTAAAATGCAAACTTCGTAATCCAGCCCATATCTCGGTTGGAGGTCCTTGGAAACCTCCTTTTCTCACAATAGATATGGGTAACGAGTAGCATGTATACGGTACTTAAATACTTATTCGTCCGATTTTATGATTCCAACTTAATTTTTTTTATTATACATAAATATTCGGACAGACGATCTCCAAAGCAAAGTTTGAGGTTCGTTGCGTGAGACGCGAGTGCGGCTCCTTGCGTGTATCATCCAGTGGCGTGGCGTGAATTGCGATGTATCGATTTTTATGCCATTTAAACCTATGAAAAAGGATCGATCATTAAGGTATTCGCAGCGAACACCTTAATAATCGATTCTTTACCATAGGTTTCAATGGCATAACAATCGATACATCGCAATTCACGCCACGCCATTGGTATCATGACTATCGATATTTTCCCATTTGAACCTATGGCGACCAATCGATTCATCGAAAGGCAAGACGCATTACTGATCGCCACTAATGAAACCGGCATCGACGCGCGACAGGATTTCCTGCTGCCCTAACGAGCTCAGTGGCTCAGTCGCGACCCAAAATTAAAATCTCGCACGTGTATTAATTGGCATGCGCGTGAAATTAATTCATGAAAAATAAAACGAGTCTCAAACCTAATCAGTCTCCATCAGTTTCCAAACGTACCCATTGAATCATAATGCGTGCGATTTCTACGGTTAGCTCATCGCGTCTAGACGAAGGACTAGGTATCCTGTTCTCTCCTGGACGTTAACACGACGGTGATTCCAGACGTCGGCGACTTGTAAAATATCGCGTTGAAAAAAATCTCGGGTATTGTCTTCATTCCACCCGACCAACTTTCCCCGAACCCGGGCGCGACTGGTTCGGCTGAATTTTTGATACAGTTAATGAGCATCTGGATTATCTGGTGGTTTCGCAAAGTAGGCAGTAGTTTTAATTGAGCTAAAAATCGTGCGTGAAGGATGAATGATGACAGTACCGGCTTCCGGCAGAAGCCGGTACTGAACCAGTTTCAAGGGGTTCCAAGGGAGCTCCGAGGAAATCCGCCAACGCGTTGTCTTTCTCATCACCGAGATGCGATCGATTGCGTGAACATAAAAGGACCATTTTCCCTTAAATAAAAAGTAAGTACCGAAAATAAAAAACAAACTTCCAATATAGGTCCATGTAGCGAGGGCACATAGAAGAATACATATTTGGAATGACGTGAGCTCCTGGCTCCTGGGCCATATAGATTTAAAACTAAGAAACCGACAAAATATCGATTTACACGATTAATTGAAAAAAATAATCCACAACGCTAAGTTCGATTTCGTCAATTTCAGCTCCCAAAGCTGGATGACGATTTGCCACCACTAAACAAGGTTATCCTGAACTGGTAAAAAAATTGTGTTCTTAGCTTGTTCGATTAATATAGGAAGTGAAACACCACAAACCAACACAAATTTTGTGTAGATTTTGGTACAGTTTGCGGTAAATTTAACGCAGAAAACAATGGAGAGACTGCAAAAATGCATTCTTCCGATTGCGACGTTGGTGTTTACAACTCGTTTTTTATTACATTTCTACAAGAAAACCAGCTGGCATTTTCGCTTGAAACTGTCACCGATGGCTTGAGTTATTTTGTGTTTTACTTCCCGTATTACCTAACCAAACTTTTGTGTTGAAATTTCTCTCTGTGTAAAATATCGATTTACACAATTAATTGAAACAAATAATCCACAACGCTAAGTTCAATTCCGTTTTTAGCTCCCAAAACTGGATGACGATCCACCTCTTCTGATCAGGGCTATACTGCCGTGCTAAGGAAGAGCGCCGTATGAACACGCGAGAATTGTCAAATTTCCTTCGATACACTGGAGAAAAAAACACATTGGATATAGAGTCCAGACTCTTGAAAACATTGACAAGAAAAAGGACTCTTAATTCAATCAGATTTAAGCTTAAATCAAAAGAAAATCCGCTCAGATTAAGAGGCTTGGATCTTGATTTGGACCGCGTTAAGCAGAAAGGAACCAAGCCACACCAGCTGTTGCCAAATTTAACCCGGCAATTTCATTTTTTACAAGATAATGTTTGTGCGGGCTCCTTTGAAAATTTTAAGGAATTTACCTCGTACTATGCAGAAAATTCACCGACATTTTCACAAAAATCCGCACAACCATTTTCATGTAAAAAATTAAATTGTCCAATTAAATTTGGCAATAGTTGATGTGGCTTGGTTCCGTTCTGCATAACGAGGTCCATTTAAGCTTAAATCTGATTGAATGAAGAGTATTTTTTCTTGTCGATGTCTTTAAGAGTCTGGACTCTAGATCCAATGTGTTTTTTTCCCAGTGTACCTAAAATGTTCATTTTTGAGGAAAGTTATGAATATTTTTCCTTGAAATTTTCAGGAACTTCAGGTGAAATTGCGAGCAAAAGTATCTGAAAAATTGGGGGGAAAATAGTCATGAGTTTACCAGGAAATTCGTGTTTTATCAAAGTAAATTCGGCAACGCCGGGAGTTTCATACGGCGTTTTTCCTTAGCGCGGCAGTATACCGTACCATGTCACGATAACCAGAACTTGAGGAGTTTAGACATGGTGAAGATGCTGCACCGTCGACGGTGGATGATCAGTGATCACCCGCTTTGACTGCTTTCATGAACCTCTCCAGGAGTCCAGGGACGTGCAACTATCACTCTCTTCGGAAGAATGCCGTTCTATATTCTGCGACTCCTTTTAAGGGTGAGCTGTTTTCCTGGAACTCCGCTCCGCATTCCCCCATTGTTTTTCATTCTGTATGAAGAGTGTTCGCCGATTTGCCGATAGTCACTCTCAGAGCCAATATGAAGTATATACTCTGTAGACAGTGGGGGGCAACAACGTCCTGTCCTCTAAGAATCGCGTAACGTCGCTGAAAACTCCACGTCTAGATGTGCGGTTTTTGACGCTTTCGCTAACAGGTATTTTGGTCTGAGTTATAATGCTCAATACAGACACTGAGACCACTTCAGTGCCATTCCGCGCCGGGCAGTGGCAGGTTTTTCTTAGTTTCCATTGGGCACAGCTTATCCCGTTTTTTCCTCCTTTCCTTTTTAGTAGTGTCACTTAGGTTAATCATTTTAGAGGGCTTAAAATTATGGCTAAATGATTGGGAGACGAGAGTTGGTGAGGATCTTCTTATTGTTGAAGGATCTCGGAGACCCCCAATATAGTTCTTGAAAACCAGCAAGTCTTTATTTCGGAGGGTATGGATTCGATCGACATGAACCACAAATCATGCCGATCGGTTCACGTTTTTATTTTTCGATCGATTCATGTCGATCGAATCGACATCGGTTTTTTAAAAATAATTTGTCGATCGGTTCACGTCGATCGATTCACGTTTTTATTTTTCGATCGATTTGCATGTCGATCAAATCCATACCACCCCTTTACTTCTATTCAAATGTATCTAGAGTGCTGTTTTCGATACTGGTACTAATCTATCAATAATATAATCTGAACTTCATTCATGGATACGCTGAGAGTTTTTGAATGGCTCTACAAAATTAAACTACTTCTAAACTTTGAAAAAGGCTGTGATACACGCTAGTTGTGTCGTTGCAATGATCCATACATAGAAAGTTTATTGTTCTTTTTACAAGAGTTTAGAAATTTTTCACTATCTATGGTTCCTGATTCTAGGAGCATGAGCCTACTTTTAAAAATATTTTCATAGAATTTAATACATATAAAAAACATTATTTGTTAATTTATTTTTTAAGTTTATTAACCTAGCTAGCAACTTAACAAAGAAATTCCCATAAATAATCCCTCCATCAACTCCAGATCAACGTTTGCCTGAAATTATGTTAGGAACTCACAAAAAGTTTTCGGAAACCAGCAAATGCGGCTGAAGGGGACGTCACTGGACAACGTCAACGCCGGCGTCAATTTTGAAAACGCATACGGAAATATTGGTGGCTAAGGTGTGAAACCACTTATCCCCATTGCGGGATTACAAAATGTCCACGTCTATAATATTTTTTTAGATGAGAAACTATATATTATAGCCAACCTCAGAACTTGAAATTTGTACAGAATATTCTGCCAGTAGAGAAGAAAAATCTAGGAAGTTTTCAAGGCATGACGTTGAATATCATCATTCAAAAGAAAAAATACAGTATGACAAGGAGTCTGCAACGCCGTAAACTGAGATACGTGGTTTCGTACCTTAGACATAGATTTGACGTTGCGAATTAAACCACCCTAAAACTCTCTCTTACGTAAAACTAAAAAGTTTATATATCCCCTGGAACCGCGTACGGTGATAGTAGAACACCTCATCACTCACACTACCCATTCATATGCACCGAACATTTTTTTATCGGTTTAATCCACTTAAAACCAGTCTCTTGCACAGTCCATTGCTCAGATGCAATTTTTTTCGGAGGTGTGAGCCGCTGCCGATGGGCACGGACAGTGAAATATGAATTACTTACCGCCTTCAAAATAGAATGATACTTCGGCGCCACATTATGCGTGTAATAAAAGTTGCCTACTCAGTGATTGAAGGAGTTTTTAGGCCGCTGTCCAACAGGTATGATTACTTGCAATCAATGTTGGGGCATGAAAGTTGCCTCCTCGACGAAGCATTCTTGATAGAAGTTTTTAAAATTAATAAAAAAAGAAAAATTATTAAAAATTTTAAAAAAAATACGTATTATTAAAAAAAAACAAGAAAAACAGGCATTAGTAGTGGAACACATTTTTTAATTCATACTTTGGGTAGCTTTACAATAAACGTGAGAATACAGTGCACAACATTAGCTCTTTTATAGACAATCAGTTCAAATTCTGTACAATTAACTCTATTAGTTGAGGATTTTTATCTGGAAATGACTAAGAGAATCATTGTCGCATGTCAAGACTTTTTTTTACATTGGTTCAAATTAACGAATTAATTCTTTTAACCTTCATTACGAAGTTTTCATAGGTTTCTGAGAGTGAATTACTTCAGTATTTGGATACCAAAAATGACTATGATCAGATCGCTTTCTCGAACAATACGGCTATGAAAACTTCCCTTACCCTTACCTAAGGTCAAACTGAATTTCTCTGGCATTGTTTTAATTCCTTATTCAGCCTCCAATGATATTTCATTATTCATTTTTGAGAAAACCCTCAACCATGGTAGACATGAATGATTGGGCGAAGTTTAACCAATAAAAATAAGTTGTGATTTGAAAAGAGAGAAAAAAATCGAAGCCTAGGAAGATCGATGTAGAAGAGGAAGTAAATTAAGCAATTTATCAATGTCAAAACTTCGTCCTTCATCCAAATCTTATTTTAAATATTCATTACAATTACATAGATATGAGGATTATACAAAAAAAAAAGTATAAAAATATAAATGTATATCTGGCGACACGCAGAAGGATTAAACATAATAAATCGATTCTTTGACTATGCTAACTCGGAGATTTTACTCGCGTTGAACCCACCTTTTTAAACATCTTTGAAAGGTTCTGTCCTGGAATTTCATTAGGCAATCTGTAAATAGAGGCAATAATTATTAGACGCTTCTCTCATTCCAGCAAGCTTTTAAAGCTTTAATGAGTATAAATGAACGCGCGATAATTATGAAATTCTAATTTTTCCTATAAATGCTTGTCTCGTATTGGGTTTGTTTTTCTGTCCTTCCGCACTGAAAATTTTTCTCAACAAATCTAAAATCTGGTTCTCCTTGAAATTTTTGCCTCGGAAAATTGCACAAAATCATACTTCATGATGCTGATCACTTAAGACGATCAATTCGGAAGTTTCCTTTAATACCACAAAAAGGATAATATAACGGTTTCTTAATACATGCAAACTGAACCAAAGTCTTGTATCATGTACACCAAAGTAAGAAAAGAACCGATGAAACTTCGATTGTTTTTATGTGTACGGTATACATATTTGACGCTGGAATCTCTTAGGACGGTTCATTCTGCTCTTTTTTGCACCTAGTTTATGCACTTTTATAATGGATAATCATAATTATTATTCTCCTAAAAATAATCGATTTACGTAAAATTTGGCATCCTTCTTCACAGTTTTGACGATATACTCTCAAATATCTCTGGACGATGTAAAAAGTAATGTCTCTTCCTTTGCACTTAACGGTGAATTGGAGGTCACCTGGTCCTCGGTAAGAGAGGCAAGATCCGTGCAATTTGTTGGAAAATCCACGTAAAAAATCACCATTAGCTATGTAAAATCAGTCTATGGCTTTACGGCTAAAAAATCCAAAAATTTCAACAGATGTGATATTGTGATAGTTACTTGTGTGCTTGAGGAAAATGATCAAATCTTTTGTAATGATGGACCTAAAACCCAATAAATCCATCAATTAGCTAAGAAGACGTCCATTTTTCTCGCACTAATCACTTTAGCCGCAACTGTTATTGGAAAATTTAAGGATTTTTCAAATCAAGGTGCGATGATAAATCCCTGATCATCCAACAGCTTAAACAAAATTTGATGATTTTCTGAGTCTGGTTGCTATGACTGCAACTCTCATGGCAGTGACGTGTAACATCCGGTAATCGCAAGGACATAAGAAGAGGAAAAGCCACGAGAATCGAATATGATAGTGTTGACTATCATGCCGGAGACTTGGGGTCCAAGTCTGCCGGCTGAACCCTTCCCTAGCAGGCTGAGCATCCATTGACGCATGCCATCATGGGCTTGGGGCACTTGCGACGTAGACTTATTGGCATGAGGACTGCGAGAATCAATAAGAAACCTCCCAGCAGGTTAACGATCATGGCTTCACTGTACTCGCCGATTCTTGCTTGGAAGTAGGCCTCCATGCCTCTGTACCCAGTTCCTCTGCAAATCGAAAGGAAAAGTTTTGCTGTTAATGAATATTTATGCTCATTAACATAGTATATATGTCGCAAGCAATTAGCAATCGCCGGCAATTTGGAAGCAGTTCACATCTTGTTTCAATAACTCGCAAAGATGCGCATCGACATAGTAAAATTTTTAAGGATTATGGTCTTCAAAAGCATCAGCTCGCCTTGGAGCGCCTTCATTTTTTGTGATACTCTACGCTTTGTCGCTGAGTTAGTTTAGTTGCCTATCCGATCTGAACCCAACTAATGTCACGGAGTTCACTGCACGCTCTTCTGAGAGTGCCTATCTCTACTATGTTTTTACGGTGAGAAAAGTGCTTATTCACATTATAGACAACATAATCAGCACTCTAATCTTATTATTTTGTTTTTGAATTGTATGCTTTCCTACATTTATTTACCACTGGCTTGCCAATTGCCTGCGACATGAATGTGCGCTATGAGGTAGGCCGAAAAAAACAAAATTTCTCAGAACTGTCTGTAGCTGGTGGGGATAATTTTTTATGATACCGATGATGAGCATTCGTCCTTATCGCATTACAAGTTTTGAATTTTCTGAAGTTCTGAATCGAGCGTTTTCGTTTTTCGTCTCCACTACTTTCAACATTTTTTAGTCCTCGTAATTTTTCATGGACGGAATATTTACGTTCGGCTAGTGAAAATACTTAGATGCAGTACAAAAGGAGGCTAATCCCGAAATTATTGCTCAACTGGGCCACTTTTTGAGGCTTAGAAATTAATTAGAATAATTGAGAATTCAATGTTCTGAAAGTTACAAGCTCTCGGCATTATCTGTATTCAATCGATGATTTGAAATCCCACAAACCTTTTATTTCTATTTCTACCCGCTGATTTATTTCAATCACCCTATAAAAACTGCCGGATCGCTAATTAAAATCCTAACTGAAACACAGTTTAACTATGCATTCACAACTACGAAACCATGTCAAGGGAAAGCGGTCACCGCAGGCGTGGAGGCTACTTCAATTTTATTCTTCCGTCTGTCTCGTTTGTAAGGCGCAATGATACAACTATACGTACTCTCCGGAATGCGGGAGGTATCACGCCGCACTTGAAGGCGTTTTTTAAGGTGACAGTTTCGTGACCGGGATTGTCGTACCGCTTGGAGTCAGGCGCACCAGAAGGATGGATAAATTGACCTTACGACCTTATTCAACAGTTCTACGCTCATCTCCTTGTTTTAAATTTTTGTTTTCAGCTTTTTCTCCTGCTGGGAATGAGCGAGTAATTTTGCCAAAACGTCCTGCCGGTGTTTTCGTTGTATTTCAGCTTTAAAATCCTGCTATCGGAAATTGTTAATTTTCTCAACCAATTTTCGAGTATACTAAAAAACCGGCTGGTGTCTAACACATTCTACAGGATATATTTTGAGCTCATGAAAATCAATAATTGTGAGGGATCGTAAGACGGTTAAATGCAGGGATCATTTCAGTGACTTTGACGCGAGGCAGAAAAGTAGGTGTACCGAAAAATATGAGTTGCTTGCTCATGGAGACATTAGTTAAAAGTTCGATTGTCTAGTAATTTCTGCTAGTAGTTGATGTGCCTCTTTCCATCGATGTGTTAAAGGCTTCCATATATATGTATAAAACATTTCATAACTGTAATGTAAATCTCATTTGGTAAAAGGGCGTTTTAAATGATGACTGTAAACACAGCCCGTACTCTCAAAAGATATGTTTAAAACCTTTTCCTTTTAGTAAAAAAAAATCCTGAATATACGATTTTACTGGGGTGGTGACGCGGACAGAGCCCAATTTAGTGGGGGGGGGGGGGTTTTCCACATGGACCACAGACAGTACCGGACAATTTTGGCAAATGTTCCCTCAAATGTTTATAAGACATTTTTTTTTTTTTTTTTTTTTTTTAATATTTTCTTAACCTTTGCCTTGAGCAATATGGAATGACTGACGAATATTCCGATAGAAAGGTTAGCTTGCATGTGATGTGATAAAACATGAGCGGAGACATGCAACGCCGAATTGGAGATTTTTGCAATATCCCTTCGCGGGACCTTAACAGGAGCTTAGGTAATTTCTTCAACGAGAGCATGCAATCGTTTTCAACAAATAACGTTGGAAAGGAACGTTATCTGCGGTCGGGAGTAAATTGAAATACTTACGCAGTTGCTTTTGGGTCTTTCTGGGAGACGTACAGAATTCTTTGCGTTAGACCTGTCAAAGCTGTCGAGATCGCCATTAACAGCGTTGTCATACCGAGTGTGGCGTGGATTGGGATAAAACCTTCCCTGATTCTTTGCGCCATTCCGGAACAACAGTTCGTCAGTACAAAACTAAGGACTCCGCCAGTGAACTGGAAAGCATAAGTAAATAAAAAATAAACCATGTTCCAAGAAAACGCAGCCTAGTATTCAGGAGTGAAGCACTAAAAATATGTGGCTATCAAGAATGCGCTTCATTGACATTGACAGTACTTGAGGGTCTTTGATATGGCTCTCTTAAAGTTCAAATGGAACTCACCGTAAGTATTTTGTGTTCAATTGGGACCACTCGATGAAATTTAAGCAGTGGCGAGCGTAAATGATCGATTATCGATTTTTCCCCGTTTGAAGCAATGGTAAAGAATCGATTATTAAGATGTTCGTTGCGAACACCCTATCTATCGATCCTTTTCCATGAGTTTAAACGGCAGATAAATCGATATATCGCAAAACACGCCACGCAACTGAATTTAAGGCTCACATGATTACTTTTACCTTCTTTTGTATACATTTTTAGAAGATGTATGAAGATGTTTGAACATGATGCTTCAGTATACGCCTGATTAGAAACCACTGCCAAAATTGAAACACGAGGAGGCAATAGGTGTTTTCATCAGGATGGAAGATCATCTGGTGCTGAAGTGTCAGAAATTAGCAAACGGTGAATCTGTCAGAGGAGTGAGCTTTCTTGTAAAGCGATGGCTGAAGTCGAAAAATGCGCGTCTCCATCGCAATGCCACAAAATCGCCGATGTTTCCTTCTTTAAGAAATAAATCAACCCAAAATCCCCTCGAAATTTTTTTGGATTTATTCTTGAATGAGTGGGAAAACTTTGGATTGAAATTTTGTTTATAAAAAGAAAACTGTCGACTAGTATCATTTTGCAAATCATTAGGCAAAAATGAGCAGGGATCTACGAAGTAACAATAGAAAATACGTATTTTTTTACTACTGTCATTGTGTTTTTTCGCTGAAAAGCAAGAATAAAACTCACCAAAAAAATCTATAAAAAGGAACTAGATCTTTATCCTCTCCCAGGCGGTGATTGGAATGTTAGATTGGAGCGAGTATATCAGTGGCGTGGCTTGCTCTGCGATACAGCGATGGTTATGCCATTTAAACATGTGGAAAAGGATCGATAAACAGGGTGTTCGCAGCGAACACCTTAATAATCGATTCTTTACCATAGGTTAAATAGCGTAACAATCGATACATCGCAATTCACGCTACGTCACTGGAGTATATATCTATTGTCTATTATCATATCGCGAGATGATCCGCAAACTTCCTGAAATTGCACTTGGGGTTATACCTGAACTGCGAATAATATGATGGTGATTAGCCCAATCCAACTGTGAAGAGTGATCAAGTGATGTTCAGCCGGCTTCACGAGTTTGTGGTAGTTGTAGGCGGCCGAGATTCCGAGAACAATACAGGGCACGGCCAACCCATGAAGAGCAAGATGTATACATTGCATGTACCCGTGCCGGCAACATTGACCCAATCGGTAAATGAGTAACGCTGCGAAAGGTTCATCAGTCGGAAATAAGTAAAATATCCTAAATTTCAATATTAGTAAGAACAATAATTGGACGTATTTCTGTCAAACGGACCTAAGCGCCAATTTTAATTCCTTTTGCGGAATTTAGAATGCGGGATAGCGCGCTCTGTCAAACGGACCTAAGCGCCATGGAAAAGCATTGCGAGTATAGGGTGGAATAAGCCGGACGCCCGGTTCCGCCGCCAATCCAAGCCCCCCTCTACCTTCCTCCCCCGATGGCGCTTAGTTCCGTTTGATAGAAATACGTCCAATTGACCATTTGCCAAGGCATTGAATGAAATACCTGATTTTCAAAATGGATTCCTCAATTTATTCATTTACAGCGAGACTGATGATCAAAATTAAAAGCTTTGGTGAAGCGTTTACCATCGTGCAGAACGCAATCATTTGATCAAATGTCTAGGTAATCGGTTTATTTTTTTAGATGTATGTACAGTTTTTGAAGACCTTGACCCCAAATTTTTCTATATTCTGAATGTAAACCTTGTTTAAACTGCGAATTTTCTTCGAGTTTTACCACTCGATTCGTTTCATTCGATCATTCAGAGGTGAAAACTGTGAACATTTCGTATTTCATAAAACACCGCAAGATTTTTCCATTAACATTCGTTCGAGACCTGAAAATCATTAAGGCAAAATGAAAATGGGCCAAAAGTCAACTGATGATTCACATTTATTTATAAAGTCGCTCTACAACGCACTCTGGCGTTCTGCGACACCCAAACGCCACATGTGCATATCTTCCCAATGATTCTCATTTACATTTTCAAATATTTACAGTCAAAAAATGAGCAAAAAATTTTAATTTCAATCCTAGTAAGAACTTTTGACCATTCGCCTAGACACTAAACAAAGAGGCCTAATTTGACTGATAGCCTGCAACCAGGGGCGTGGCATGCTTTGCGATGTATCGATGAATCTGCCATTTAAACCTATGGAAAAGGGTCGATAAACAGGGTGTTCGCAACGAACACCTTGATAAGCGATTCTTTAGCATAGCTTCAAATGGGGAAATATCGATAATCGATCATGCACGCCTCGCCACTGCCTGCGATGTATGGACGAAACTTACAGAAACCCGAGAGGGAGATGAAGCCGCTGATCATCATGACGGGGTGGTAGTTGATGTTGGCCTGGGCGTCGGTGGCTGAAAATCCGACAGTTTTCCGGAAGTAAAAAGCCCAGATGAAGACGAGGACGGTCGTTCCAGCCAGCATGAGGATAATGAAACTGTGCAGAAGAGCTGATAAGATGGAGCATCCCTTGTTGCACTGCTCGCATCTTTGTCTGCAAAAAAGGAAAAAAGGGAATTAAAAACTTGCACCGACTTCTGGCTCTTATTTTATAAAATTTAGATTACATCATCAACTGTATGACAGTGCAATGTAAATACAAAAATAAACAATAAATAATGAGAAAAAACCGCACTCAGAATGTGATGCCATAATAATTTATTGGGTCTAAATTAAACGTGGGCTGTACCTCCAATTGAAAAAAAACTGAGCTACAGACTGCAATAACAAAACTAAATTGGACGTATTTCTGTCAAACGGAACTAAGCGCCAATTTGAGTTCCTTCTGAGGAATTTAGAATGCCGGATAGCGCGTTCTGTCAAACGGAACTAAGCGCCATGGAAAAGCATTGCGAGTATAGGACGGAATGAGCCCGACGCCCGGTTCCGCCGCCAATCCAAGCCCCCCCTCTACCTTCCTCCCCCTATGGCGCTTAGTTCCGTTTGACAGAAACACGTCCAATTTTAAGGGGAGCTAAACATAAATTCTAACTACTTGTTAGAACAAGCAGCTGCGTGACTGCAGATCAAATTATAGGAGCGATCATTAAAACATTTCTTGCGAATGGCACAGCTTTATATCATAAAAATGTTCATTAATTCCAAATCCACAATTATGTAAATTTGAAAAATAAGACTAATAAATCGTTGTTTTAAAATAAGCATTCAATTTACGGGAGCGAGCTTTTATTTACTAGGTTAGGTCATTGCCTAAAATTTATATGTAACCTAACTACCCACCCAACCGTGAGGCGCGGCACCGAGTATTATTGCGCACCCACCAACCACAACGCCTCACATGGGTATGAGGGTGCTGGAGGGGGGTAGCGTCGCTTTGCAAAGAGAAACATCGAAAATTTCAAGCTTTTTTCTAAGGAAAAAGTCGACTTTAGAATCAATTTTGTCAAAAAATGTATGAAGAGCGGGAGATCTACCCAGCGTCGCGTACTTCAAGGAAAAATTCCACGTTTGCGCCAAATGTTCATGACCAAAGTATGAAACCACGTATCTCCGTTCACAACCTCGTAGATTTCCTGCTATGATTAATTTTTACTCTTGAAAACCAGTCCACACAATTTCTTAAAAACTTTTTTTATTTATTTACTCTGTCAGCAGAATAATCTGCAGAAATTTCAAGCTGAAAAGTTGGCATGTTTTCCTTCAAAAAAGTGAGAAATGTGCGAAACACAGCGATGGAGATACGTGATTTCGCACTTAAGCTATGAATGTGCGACACACGGAGAGAGATTCCAAACTTGCTTCAGTGTAAAATTTAAAAATCGAAAAAGTTGACAAAGGCTCCACAGCACCAGGCGAAATCCTAACCAGTCACAAAGCTCAATAAATTTTCGAGTTCAATTCGATTTGCCTTAATTGATAAAATTATTACGACTTCAAATGTTGCCATTTTTAGAAAAGAACAGCCATTGCTTTCTGTTTGCAGGAGCACGATGTATAAGACTTCATTATGCGGGTGAGTATGTATCTGTTACTTTTGGTAACATACTTAGAACATAGGGTATATAATTATTCGATTTTAAATATAACTCACGGGTAAGTTACGCAAAACATGGTAAAAGGGTTTTCTTTCTTTTTGTGTTTTTATGTTTTCCCCTGAAGGATCACTTTAAAACAAGGGAGAAACAATAACGAGGCATTTTTGAGTTATTTATGGAACACTGTTCGATTCCGTCGCATTCGAAGATGAGATATTTAAGGTTAAAAATACACCATGCATTTTTGCGACACACTATACTTGCTACTCTACACTGTCGATTTTACGGCCACAATGTAAACTTAGACTTTAACGCCTAGAAAAAACTGATATTGGAAAATGAAGAATACGATTTTAAAACAAATAAAAAGCTCAAGTCTCTATCAACAGCTCTAGATCAAATCAAAACTTCTGAAAAAAACAAAAATAACAAACCGCTGTATAATTTTGCAAAAATAAACAGCTGACTCCGAGGCTCTCGTAAAGTACATATTTTGATAGGTTGCGCTTTTTTGGCGGGAAAACCATTGTATGATCTTCTACTGCGGCCAAAATTTGAAGGATAGGTATCTGAAATATACTTTAAAAAGGATGACACCTTTAGCCATAGTTCCTGCAGATGTTGCCGAGGAGACGGTACTGCCGGAGCACCCGAATTATTTCTAACTTCAAGTTATGCACCACTTTTATGTTTTATTTTTAATGATTTTTTTTAAAAAAATACACTCAGTTTTTATGAGGAGTTTCCGCGAAATTAACCTAAATGATCTCAAATAAAAGTACCGAAAATTTTGCTCGTTCTATTTTCATATAAGGTAACCAAAAAAAAAAGGAAATATCATCCGAGTTTCTAAATTGTTACAATGAGGATACATATTTTCTCTTTATTGTGGTAAAAACTGGAGCAGGAAGTTAAGAGTGATGTCACGCAGTCCTGCAGAATTCCTACAGTCTCATAGGCGCTAATGCTAATATGCGTCCCACGCCAACTGAACGACTGCACTGCGTTTGGCGCACTGCAAGAAGTATTCATGCAGTCTTGTAGGCGCTAATATGGGCCTCAACGCCGACCACACTGTTTGGCGCAATGCGTGAAGTATTCCGAAAGTCTTGCAGGCGCTGATGAATGTTCAACGCCGGCCGCTCTGTGTTTGGCGTGATTATTTAAACTCGCGTTAGCATAATCGCGGCATGCATCGAGTAGCTTGAAAGGCCTGTGTTGTGTTTCAACGCCGTATGAGCATTCCAACGTTGCCCAGTTCCTCCCGATTAAATATTTTTTCCGAGAAAAGTTAGGAAAGTTCTTTATGTCCATAACTATTACCTATTCAATCTTTGCACTTCATTTAGAGGGTAAGACATCGATTACTTGTCAACAAACTAACGTTAACTAGCGTTAACATAAAAATGAGTTTATTTTCCAACTATTTCCTGTTTTGCCAAACGTCTACCTTAAATTAACTTCATTTTAAATTCGCGCATTCCTGTAGCAGATGTTACTTAAGGTTTCTTTCGCGCAATCCTGGATTACTGGAATAGTTGTACGTCTGCGCCGTCATCAACACGCGTTCACGCGTCTCTTATTTTTGGCATTCGATGAAAGTAATTGTTAAACAGTTTGCTTAAAATGTACTATGATGCGATGTGTCCGAATCAGTAATCATTTTGAAAGAAAAGAAAAGGAGAAGAAAAATTAGAGGTCTCTAAAGCACCTGAAAGGGCGCCTGGTAGAGCACAACTTGTCTACAACTCAAATAGCATTGGCTTCTATCTTATAACTATTGAAGCATGATCTGGAGGAAAGGGGGAGCTTCACAAGGGACACAATTAATATTGTCGATAGCCTATAATCTTAGATGAAATAGTGGTAATGGTTTATCTTTGGATTACTCTTCAGAATATCCATGTGTGGAAAATTTCTGACGAGGTATTTTCATCTGGTAAAGGTGTAAAAATCACGGCATAATACTCACTCACATGTTAGAACTTAAGTGGTTGGCATGCATGGGGCTCGTACTGACTGCGTAGGATCTGTGACAATCCATCCCACTTTTTCTTTTTGAAAGACGGAAATCCTCTCCTCCTATAAATCAGGCTTCAATAAGTATATGAATCGAAAAATAGCTAAAAATAGCTTGAAACTTAATTAAGAATACATGTAACCGTCCAAAGAGGAAAGGATTTTACCTAGTCCACGAAAACTCAAAACAGTAACTGGTAACAAAGCAAAGAGGGATGTTCCACAAACATTTTGGGACAAAGACCGCCTAAAAATGTCAAACCCACACCAGGGTTATGAGGATTTAAAGTTTTCAGTTCAAAGAAAGTAATGTTTAGAAAAAAGATTGAGCATTTTAAGCTGCCCGTTTCAGAGTTCAGGATAGCGGGATTATAATTCAATTATACGCAATCTTTTGGCATAAAATTGAGCTGAATTGCTTACATTGTATTCGTCAGGACCTCACAAGTTTCAATCAATATTTTAAACTCCGATTTATCGACACAATTCCACAAACTTCACTGTGCTGAAAATTTCGGCTCTCTGGACGAAGGTCCCGTTTCCCGTGGACGATCACATGTAGAAAGAATTTTATATTTTTTCAGCTAGAAATTTGAATGTTGATAAAAGCTCATTTTAAAAGATGAGTTCAAAGCTGAGAGCTCCAAAAGACAAAGTGGCCGCTGAGTACCCACCTTCCGTAGAAGGGCGGGGGAGAATCGAGAAGGGGCGGGTTCGAACTCAAAATTTACAAGAGCTAACACCTCGAGTTGTAGTGAAATTTTGAAATGGGATTTAAAATCGAAAATTTTAGTAGTAAACTGAAGTATTTATCCATTACTTCTTTGATCCTTCAATCAGCCAAATTATCGAAAAAAATCAAGACGGCCAACTCACCATCTGGAACTCAATACAGAGAGGGATCTCAGGGATAGGGTTTTGTTAGAGTGTAAGATATTCCATTGAGTTTTAAAATATTCCACTCGCCAAGAAATTTTCCTTCAGATAATTTTATTAACCTTGCAGGTCCTAAAATCTCCGAAAATAATGTTTTAATTTCGCTTTGACGAGCGGTTGAAGGTCTGACGAGGAGGCGACAGTCCAACATAAATCGCCTCACAGGTTCATTAATTTTTTATACGAAGGCCGACGACGTACATTGTGCGGTGTTAATGTCTAGATTTACCCTTCAAATCTAAGCTTATCGGTAAATGCATTTTGAAAAGTACCTATTTTTTGAGAAGAATTCAACAAAAGAACAGTTCTTCGGAGAAGTTTCATTGACCTTCATCGGTCCGCAGACCGAACAGATCGTAGACGTCGTAGACTGGCATTGTTGGCATTGTGGGGCACTGGGACACGGCATGATCTCGGCTTTATATAGTCGCTGTGGACAAGGATTTTTGATCGGGTTGCACTGCATGGAATAATTATGCCCTGGAGCCAATTCAAAGCTCTCGCATTCCTCGGGAGCGGGCTGGCAAACCATCTGGAGTCGCGTGCGGGACGGGCTGCTGGGGGCGTAGTTGTAAGGGGTTGAAGGAGATTGCGATTGCGGGGAGTAGGCGCGGTACGACTGGGCAGGCGGGCAGTTTTGGGGAGGTAAGGACGGGGGTGGCGTGCAACGGCGAGAGGGTGGAGAGTAATGTCGGGCAGACTTGGGTGGTGGAGTGCATCGAGATGGAGAACGTTCTCTTTGAGAATTGGGCGAGCAAGTGCGTTGGGGCACTGCGGGAGGAGGTTGAGGAGGCGGCGGTCCACAATCCTGGAGGGTGGAGATCGGCGGACAGGAGGGTGCCGTCGGTGCGAAGGACGCCAACGACACATCATCGTCACAACCTCCACCCCTCAATTTTTCGAACGATCGAAAAGCGCCTTTAATCCTATCCTGCCGGACGGACGTGGGCGGTAGGATATGGGGATCCTCGTCTTCCGATCTCTGAACCCAATCGTCCTCGCCGTCCTTTTCGTACCTGTACTTTATCTTCGGCCTCTTGCCTTTGCAGTGCGATCTCAGGGGGAAGCGGAACCGGAAGAGCCTTTTCGTGCACTTGCTCTTCAAGGGTCTTCGGTCGCAGGTCGGGATCATCTGGAAGCCGGGTTGGCACATCGTCTCGGGGCAGGTCCTGAACGTGGTCTTGTCCCGCGGTATAGCGTAAGGGATGAAAAACTTGTCGTCGTTGAGAGTCCTCCCGCGGTTTCCGTATCTGGACATAGAGCTCAGGGACATCTGTCGCGGGGGGATGCAATGGGCTTTGAGCAGTAGTTTCTCTTTGGCTGTTGGTTCCCGCAACGGTAGATCGCCGACTGACGATCTAATTCGACTCGCCGCGGACTGCTGTCGACCTGCGGCATTGTAAAGGCGGTCATTGTAGATTCGTCCATCTGAGGAGCCTCGATATCTGAGGAGATCTCTCATCTTCCCGCCCAGATAAGCGTCCTCTTCATCGTGTGCGAGGAGTTTGCACAGAGTGAATATATCTTCGGACGACCACCTCTTCCGCGGTGGCGTCCATTTAGGACACTCCTCGGGCTCTGGTCTATTGATGTCCACCCAATCGCAGTCATCGTTGCAGTCCTCATCGACATGCCGATCCTCGCGCCTTCGCATCCGACCCATCGGCACTTGGCACGGGCTAGCGACGACACATCTCTCTTTCGACTTCTTTCTCTTCTTGGGTTTTTCCTCGGCACAGAAGTCGATGTCCGGGGGGTCTAAGTCGAATTTCACCGTCGAGGGCCTGTTTGGACGCTCTGAGCAACATTTGTCGGATTTGGTCTCTTTTAAGATCGGTTTGGACGAGCATCCTGAAAAGGGAATTATTATTAGTCAAGTCGGAAGGCTTCTGCTACGTTGCATTGCCAGAAAGGTTGTTGCACGTCTAGGACTTTCTTTGAAATTCTGAAACTAATGCATGAAATGCAACCTAGCTCATTTCCATGGGCTCATTTTTCATTAAATCTCATGTAAATCTTGTAAAAACAATTGCTGCTTGGACTATGCCAAAATGATATGTGCTCGTTCATTGACGGCGCATTAAATTTGGCACATATCAATGGTAAAATCTGAGAGGTACACATGTTAATTTGCAATAGTGTCTTAAACGTTGAATGTTATCGAGGCTCATACCGTACACTTACATTTGCAACGCAGTCATGTATCATGCGCAAGTGCACACACAAGAGCTTTTTTTTTATCCGAACCACAGTGGACCAAAATGGAACGCATCACTTTTTTATCGCGTTCCGCTGGCGCGATCCAGTGCGTTCCATGTGTTCCAGTGGAACGCTTGGACCACTCTTCCGAGGTAGGTTGAGGTTGGTTCAGGCTGGTTGAACCAGCCCGAACCACTATCATCGCGATCCATGCGTTCCACGGATAAAAAAAAAAAAAAAAAAAAAAAAAAAAAAAAAAAGCCCTACAGCGAGCACAACGAACATAAGGCCTTTGAGATGCGAGGTATTGATGACACGATGACGCAAAGTTGTCGTCTCAATGGGAATTCTCGACATCAGTAACGCGCGAAATTCAAAAAGTCGCGTGGCAACTGCCGCCTCCTCTCCTTCTCTATAATCTCTCGACCAGAATCTTTGTGCACCGGCATCAGAGCAAGCCGGAGCGACTATATTAATAACTCGAGGGAAATGTTAAGAGCATCTCGCTCTTGCCTTTAAGATGCTTAAGAGCAATGTAAAAAATCAGACTACAGTAAGGTTACTATCAAATGGACGTATTTCTACCAAACAGACCTATGTGCAGGTGAGAAATATGGGGTGTGGTCTAGAAATCTGCATAGGAAGCAATGTAAAAGTGGGCGTGATTCCTTTTGAAGAATTGGAAAAGCGGGATTTTACATTCTATCAAACAGACCTATGTGCCATCTGAATGCGGGATTCATGAGCCGCGGGCATGGCAAGAGAGCGTTGTGGACAGGGCTCATGAGTTAATGCCCCCCCGACGAAGATCGCGCCCCCGCTCGCGGGCTCGATCATTGCCGCTGACGTCACTGGCGCTTTATTATTCTCATTCACTCTTACGGCCAGAGAACTATCGAGCACACCCCATATTTCTCACCCCCACATAGGTCTGTTTGGTAGAAATACGTCCAAATGGTGCCTGAATGGGAAGTTGGGGGATACTCACTGAGACTACTTTTGGATCCGTCGCGACAACTGGGACAAATATTTTTCGAGGTATCACTTTTGGTGGGCTCGGCGAAGCATTTGCATTCGCATTTGCTCCTAGAGTTACTTCGGGATCGAGGTGGTTTGACCGGACAGCAGAAGTTACTCGGCGCACTGCTGACTCCAGAACAGCTGCTGTCTGAATCTGAGTCATCTGAGTCGTCCGATTCCGATTCGTCAGAGCAATCGCTAAAAACAATCCCACAAGATCAGTCTTTTTCCATCTGTGTATCCCATGAGCACAGAACGGCGAGGATTTAAACCTCAACCGGTGGAACTGCTTATTATCTATGTAGTTATTCTCAACTTTGATCTGGGCAGTACCTAAACTTGCTCATAATTCTGCTATCGAGCAAGGGCGGACATGCCAGGAGTGCGAGGGTGCTTCAGCGCCCCAGAAGCAAGGGGCTCAGAAGGCCCCGGCAGGTTTCTTTTAGGGCCCCTTAAACCTCAAAAACCCTCATAAAGGAGGACTTTAGGTTAGTAAGAGGGGGCCCACCCGAGAGGAAGGGGCTCCAAAAGCATATCAGCACCCCAAGAATTATCGAGCGAGACCGACTCTGCTATCGAGACTCAAAAATGCATTACTTACGGAGAGAGAAGAGTTGTTATAGTTTTACAATGCTCATAGTGGAATCCAGGTTCCACCTACTTTTCTAGTCGTCCAGTAAAGGCTAGACTGTAACTAAGATTGTAAAAGTAGGTGGGATCTGAAGTCCGCTATGATTAGTCTGAGAGTAACGATTATTTATTTATTTTTTTTTTTTTCGTGTAAACCTTGATACTTTGAAAAATTTGTGTACAATATGCTCCAAAAAATTAAGCATAGTTTCTTAAAATATTGGGTGAACTTCTTCATTTTAAGGCGGCGCGGCGATAAATACTTTAATCGCAGTGCAAAAAATGAAAGGGTACTTAAAAATTGTCCTCTCAATGAATTTGGCTTCTTGTGCCTTATAATTTGTAAGATAAACGTTGAACTTGAAACCGTCTTGATCTAAAATTTTTAGATGGTTCTGGCGTACACTGATATCCCTGTTTTTGAAGAATTTCAAGGAAATCTCAAGTCGAGAGAGCTTCAAAGAACGTTAAGCGATCCTCAACGCATGGTGGATGATTCTCTACCTGTACAATTTTGTAGATATTGATGCTTCCAGCAAACTTTGAATCGCTCGTCATTTTATGATAATGCAGAGGACATTTACTAAGAATCTAATTTCTCTTTAGATTTTTAACGATAATTTATCTCGGAAGAACACGTCCTCATGTTGGTTGCTCACCCAGATTTTGCTCTTTTTCAGATTTTAACATCATCCATTGATACTCAATTAACAAACATTCAATTGCGTTTTCTATGATTATAAAAGTTGCTAAAATAAATTTCGTCAAATCACATCTTGTAACGATTACTAAAAAAAAAAAATTAAAAAAATAAAAAAAAATAAAGGAAGAAAATAGGAAAAAAATAATATTTTAAAAATAATTCATCTGATATATCTGATGGCGTGAAAGTTCCATTTTCAATACAATTTTTAAAAAAATGTTGCTAAGTTTCCGATGTTTTTAAAATTAGAATGCCTCGAAATAATTTACCTTCGATTATTGAAGTGGACTCGATATTTCGGAAAATTCATTTCACCTTAGCAGTTTTGAAAGAAACAGAAGTGCGACACATGATGATTCATTCACAATAAAAGGCTAGAAATGTTGGTATATATTTATTTATCGCAAAGTTTCACAGTTCCCGCCTTAATTACGTTAAAGACTGTTCTGAGATGGTTTATTTTTTAAAGGTCCAACGCAATTTATACAACCAAAAAGTTTAAACAGAAACAAATTGTCCAACCCATTTACAAAAAAAGAGAAGAAGGGACGCACAGTTTGTTTTGATGAACTGAAATTCAGAGGTTAGGACAACGTAAATTTTGTTCGTCTAATCCGAAGGCTTCAACTATTCACTTTCAATTAAAAATATAGAAAACGGTGGGGTACGATTAAGAACAAAAATATATATCTTTTTCACTCAATATTCGGTGAATACATTGAACTATAATTTTTGAACTAAATATGTCACATTTTGAGAGGACCGTGATTTTACGTCCTCCAAATTCCCAGCTGATTAGTTGGTAACATCACTATCATCGAGGATGCTTCATAGTCAAGCATACACTTATCTTAGTTGTTATTGTTTCGTTCTCCTTCCTTTTCCGTCTTTTTTTAAAGTTTCCCATAAAAGCGTTATTATTTCCCAAACCCTAATATAACCATATCAAAATTATAATCTTGAATATGTTGCCATCATCAAGTTAATATGAATTTCTTCATTATTTGAATTCAATTAACCATATATTTAGGAAATAACTAGCAGGAAACCCGCGCTACGCACAGGAAAACCCCACCATCAGCAATCACTGTGATTAGTGATCAGTTACTAATTGTGTTTCTGAATTATCGTCTACTATTTCAAAATTGGCGAGACACACTGGTTTGATAAAAAAGTAGAAATTAGTAGTATGCTGCTATTTTGGTCTGTTCTTCAGTAAGCTCATATGATAATTGTAATAATCAAAAATACCCAATCAAAAGTTGGTTATTTTCATAAAGATTTGATACTTTTGTCAGTTCAATGTTTAATTGAAGTTAGCTGGTGAGTTTCAGCCGCGAAAATTACGGGATTTAACCAGCGGTTTCGTTTAATTCTCAGCAATGGCGGGTTTGTCATCTACATCGCGGAGAAAACTTGATTTTTCCAGGGATTTTGTAAAACAAATTAGAAATTACACGATATCACGGCAAATACGTCGTGTTCCTAGCGAATTTCTAAGATCATTATAATTAATTGCGAGTTATTCACATCAATATCGTGGCATACACGCGAATTTCTGACTCAATTAAGACTACGTAAATGTGCGCATAAAACTCATAAACATCTGTTGCTTGGGATGGGCGAAAACGTATGATTTTCCTTCAATTTTGTATGATACCACATACCCACTCCGGAGTTCAAATAGTTTCTCGCTTCATTTCAAGCAGGTGAAGAATGTCGGAGCGATGTTCTGTTTGCTCCGCTGTCGCTGTCAGCACCGCGACTACAGGCGCAGTGTGACCGAGCCGTCAGCACAGTATAGAACGCCTTCAATCTAGCAAGCGGCAATGTGCGCAGAGGAGACCAATGCCATAGAATAAAAAGACTACGTCAGTCTCTTTATTCTATGCCAATGAACAGACAGATTTTCCAGATTTTCACATCTCTGAGAGGGTAGCCCGGCAACGGAGGCACGAGTCGGAGCTCGCAAAAATCATGGCGCGGCGTTTCCAACAGCGCGACGCAGAACTCGTTCCATCTTCCTCGCACTCGTTGGACGCCAACCTCCTTCCATCTTCCTCGCACCCGTTGCGCGCACCAGAAGAAGACACGTAAAATTTATCAGCTGTCTTCCAGCGCGGGACGCGGAAATCGCTCCATCTCGCTCGCACTCTCTCTCGCACCCGTTGTCCTTACGGGAAAATCGACCCGCGCGGACCGCGATATCCCGCGAACCGGCGGGCGGATCGCGAAATCCTCCCTTATCCGGCGCCTCGGGGTAGAGAGGGATCCCAGTGCGGAATCTCAGGGTCACACGGCCTCCCGTTCACGAGATCCGCTGATACGTGAGTCAGTGAGTGAGTCAATCAACGTGAAGTCTGCTTTATTAGTATAGATGAGGAGCTTTTTGAATCGAGGATTTTTTGAGGATTTTGATTTGCTATCGGGATTTTTTGGGGAAATTGAAGTGTTCCAAGTGCATCGAATTTTGTAGCATTTTAGAGGATCTAGATACTATTCGTAATGAAATGATCTGTGAGATATTTGAATGAAAAGATACAAACTGCCTTTGACAAAAACATCTAAATTGCAAAATCGACGCGGAAAAATGTATATAAACTGTAAAAACAAGACGAAAAAACTAGTGACAAAAAACTATAAAACAAAGTTGAGAACATTCTTAGGGAAAGAGACTCCTCCCGTCAAAGCGGTTGACACGAATTTAAACTTAGGTCAGAAAAGGAACGAAAAGTAAATGACATAAATAAATAAATTATGATCCATACACAAAACAAAAATTATACAACGTTGCGTGAACGTGCAGCGAGGAGGGGTGCATAAGACGCGTTCACTCGTGTGGGACACATTTTTTGCAAAAGCCCTGTCAACACCACTAGCAAAAGTTCACGAAACTTGGCGCGAAAGTTAAGTTTCGTAAACCAATCTCTGTGTGGACAAGGCCTTCCATTTATATGAAATGAACGAAAATATTATGAAAGAACAAACATAAATGTTGTTTAATAATTTTAACTTCCGCCGCCGCGCCGCGCTGACCGCATTGTGTTTGGCGCAATGCGTGAAGTATTCATGTAGTCTTGTAGGCACTGTGCGTTTCACGCCGCGCCGACCGCTGTTGACTGTACTGCGTTTGATGCAATGCGCGAAGTATTCATGCAGTCTCGTAGGCGCTAATATGTGTTACATGCCGACCGCCGCGCCGAGGGTTTCTCCTTTTCATTTCAAGTTCTCGTCATCATTGCTCTCTGCGCCGCGCCGTTCCAGGCCAAATTCCGTGTTCGGTATCTCTCTTAGTCTTAACTTGACTAATTAAAGGTGCTGTCTTTTGTATCACAGACAGACGACAAAATTAGAGATATACTCTCAGGAAATGAGAGATTTTATCACCTTCTCTCGTTCGTAATTTTTTTTCAGCATCCGATTTTTCTTTATAGCTACATTTAAACAAATTGCAAAATTTTCTGCCCCCTAAATTTGCCGCTATGGGCCGCGGCCCATGTGGCCACCCCCTAAATCCGGCCCTGTTGCGTTGTATTCAACGTACATATTATATTTAATCAACGAAACAATTTGACGGACTTACCCAGAATTTGAGCCTGTTTTGCCTTGAGAGGACATAATTTTCCTCGTTTGGTGAAGCACGTAAAATACGGTGATTAGGTTTCAACACAAGTTGATAAAGAGTGAATGGAGATCACATACACCTATGCGAGATCAGAATTTAGTCACAGAACTTATATGTTGATGTCCTTCTATGTTTTCATTCAAAGTTCTATTTCAACTCTATTATTAGAATCATCATTTGTGTCACTTTTAGCTCGGGCAAATTCTCTTTGTATCGTTGATGATTTTACTTTTATTTTTATTAACTTAACTCCCCCTCTCAATTAATAACTCAACAGATTCGTCTTGTCTTCATTTCCCGACTTTATCGGCTCCAATACGATGAAACATCACTCTACATACACGCCGTATAACACTCACTTCCATCAGTATTAAACTTAAACCTGCTAAAGTTGAGACACTTCGCGAATGAACTGTATGACGAAAACTTAAAGTTAAAATCGCGAGCGGAGGGACCGAATTCGGAATAAGCTTAAGGTGGGCTTTTCGGAGGGATACTGTTGCTTGTTCTTCTACCGTGGCCAGCCGGCCGGCGCTGACCAGCTGACTAGCGCAAGAGCGGAAGACTCGGGGGTAGTTCCGGCGCACAGTGCGCTGCTCTAAATTATTTTGGACCATCGATGCAGGAGTTAAATAGATAAGTATTTCGAGTAAAATCCGTCTTACTGTGTGTTTTTTTAGAGTAACTGAGCATTATAATTTGTATTTCCGCTTTAATATTTCAGCTCAAAGTGCATTTCTTTCATAGAGGCAATTGTTTAACTTTCAATACGTTTTTCTTGCGATCGCAAAAATTGTATCTCAACTCTTCCATTACGTGAGGATCTTAAGTTACACCGGTAAAATTTGAGGGTGGTCATTTCACGAACCGAGCTTAAGTTTGCAAAACAGTGGATGCCCTCTAGTCAAGATAAGTAAGCTATAATTATACCTCGTCGGTTGTGTTAAGGTAAGGAAAGGAGAAATGTGCCGAGTAAGGGTTCGGAGCTACGTGGCATCACACTGAATGTGCTCCTTTTTGAAGCTAAAAAAAAAAACCTAGTGGAGCCTTTAGAGCTGATGGGTGAGAGCCGCTGCAATGGCATTTGCAACTTTTTACAGTTCAACTCGTCGTTGCCCGAAGGAGGGAACGTAACTCCATTCCAAGGTTGCAAAATTGACTCAGATAATTCAATTTTTTACGATAGTGTACCTGTACAATTTTTGTTCAAAGTAAGTGATTGATTCATTACATCAGAAGAAAAATCGATGAAATTTTCAGTTAAAATATTCAAGTCTCTCCTGGTAAAAGTACAATTTGCGAGAAAAAATTGAAATGTAATTACGCTCTTTCGTGGAGAAACCGACGAGCTGACAATTTATTATCTTATTCATTAAAGAGTGCGTACCTATTCTATTCTCAAGAAGAGGAGATTGTTGCTCGATCACGAAGATTACCAACAATTTTATAGGGAAATGTTTAATAGGTATTAAACAGATATGGCCATCTACAAATCCCCTACCAGGGTGTCTACTAAAACAGGCTGGCCAAAAATCAGTGCTTTTACAGTGCTTTTCCAGTCCATTCCCAAGAAATTCAGTACCTCCTCATAAGAAAATTTCAGTACTTTTTCAGTACCTCCTATTGACGAAATTCGAAAATTTTCAAAAATTTGAATTTCTCGTTCGAATTGCGACAAAAATGACAAAAATTCCGAACCTCCTCGCGAAATTCCACACTTTTTCAGCACTTAGGGACCGCCCTTAAAAAATCAGTACTATATCCGGACTTTCCGGAAATTCTGGACTTGTGGGCACCCTGGACGGTCTAGCAACCCTTTAAAGTAACCGGCTCGTCTATTTATTGAATTCCTTGAATTTGAAAGTTGTCGAGCCTTAAAAATTCCAAATTGAGCCCACGCTGCGGTGTTGTATGCGTGGTCGATGAGTCAGAAGATGTTCCGCGTAGCTTGACCAAACCTCATGAATTTGTAATGAAACCGGGTGGTGGTGATTTTTAGTCGGGGCTGAAGCGCGTAGGTAAATTATGCGAGGGGGTCGATGAACGGAGTCCGATGGACAAATATTAACACGTTACCGAGAGATATTAAAAACCCATCAAACTTATCGATTTATCTAACCGGGTGAATGGTCAGTAGTTAAATTGACAAAAAGAGGCACA